TTGCAAACCAAACCAATTGTGAATTGTTACCTAGTTTCCATATCTTGTGGAGATTTCAGTTTAAATCATCTCTAGCTGTATTTTTCCATTGCCATGTGCAGTCATACAGAAAGCAAATCTTATGCAAACTATCCCTGTTTTTACCACAGACATTGTTCATAACATTTCCACAATCCACTGCAAGGGAAACAATTTTACAGTGGAAGAAAGGAACGATTGGTGTGTTTTATATAGAATCTAGATAATGAATATACTTTCTCTAGTTTCTTTTTTAAAAAAAGGCCTTTTTTAAAGGGCCAGTTCGCTGTGAAAATCTGGGAAGGCAGACATAATAGTTATTCCACACCTTGACATACAACAACAACAAAATTACATTTGTATAGTGCCTTTCACTTCGGGAGAATATCCCAAGGCCCTGGGCAATCAGTGTTTTGGACCCAAGCTGGGGTTGGGATCGGGGAGGATGCAGGGCAGGGTGAAAAGTACAATACAATTACAGGGTAAAATACAGGTTAAAAAGTAAAAATTATAGCTCCCATTGGAGGAAGCTGAACAGTTTAAGATTTTAGTATGAAGGATTGTCTGGATACTGCTTTGAATTGAGGCATTCAATAATGTTTATCGCAACATTCATTCAATATGCAAGAAAAGCCGTGTTTACCCAAGTAGACATTTTTAATTAGCAAACGGCAACATTGAACAACAAAAAGACATGATTTTATATCGAGAGAAAATTTAAAGAGAAATGAGTGACATCCCAATCTTTCAATGGCTACTGGTTCAGTTGTATAGTTTCTCAAACTGCTGGAGTACAGCAGTGCAACACAAAGCAATATAAATTGTTCCTCTGACCAACTCATTCCGTCTTGAATGAAATAAGTAATTCGACCGGTTGGGTTTGCTCTTTCTTGATGGATATACAATTCTTGCCCATCCATTGGAAGACTTGACAATGTAACAAGCATTAACCTAAGATCGTCTATTTTGTGTCTTCTATTCCAACTCTTTAATTAACTTTGATGATATTATTCACTTTCGCTGACCAAACAAATTCTTTCTGAGTGCATGGCTCTATGTACCAGTTCATAAAATTGTTCTATTCCCAGGACTTCATTTTATAGCAACACCGTAGTAGAGAGTTGGAACTGAGGTCAGGGAGCATTTCTTCACATACAGAGTTGTGAAGATGTGGAATGCTTTGCCTCATAAAAGTACAGAGGCCGAATTAATAGGAATGTTTGAAGAGAGACAGATCCTTGGGGAGGAGAGATATTAACCGGAATGGCAAAAGGAAAGCTTTGAGATTAAAAGATCTGCCAAGATCTAATAAATTGCTGAAACAGACTCAATGGGCTGAATATTCATGTTGCTATGTTGCTACTACAATACAGTAAGGAAACACGACAATATTAACATTTATATAGTGCCTTTCACATCAGACGGATGTCTCAAAGAACTTTACACAACTGATTGGGAGCCTGAGCTGGGTGAAGGAAGAGCTGAGAAGGGGGGAGAGAAACGTGACCAAAAACACAGTAAAAAAGATAGATCATAAGGCACGTTAGGGAGGGGACAAGGAGGAGACGTTCTGGGATGGAGTTCCACAGGGAAGTGGCAGAATAGCTGACAGCTCGCTGACTGGCAAGGGCGTATTGGGCAGTAGGGTTGCAGGAAGACACAGAGGAAAGATGGGCAGTGGAAAGTTTTGAAGTTGAAGACGAAGATCCGTTGAGGGATGGAGAGTCAGTGGAGCTGAGGAAGGATGGGGGCAATGGGCTTGAGGAGCCTGGTGCGAGAGAGGATACGGTCTGAGGAGTTCTGGATGGTTGTCTGCAGTTGGTGGGGAAAAAGACTGAAAAATAGAAAGGCGACAATGGAGAGAAAAGGAAAATAATGTTAAGTTTGACTCTAGAATAAAATAATGATTTTGTCAAGATGGACGATAGAATAAAAGAAAGGAAACTGGTGAAATAAAAGAAGATAATGAAAACAGCATGAACTTATTTAGATGAATGTCAAAAATGACATATTCCCCAGTTAGAACGAAGACTGGCCCCAAAAATTGCCTGTTGGTCTTTTGAAATGAACGGGAGGTGGAGTCTCGGACTCATAACAATGTTTTTGGTTAGTAGCAGCTCTGGCTATTGTAGACTTGATTTGCTGTGTTGGGTTTGGTTTATTTCCAGACACTTAAGAATGATAAAAGGTCAAAATGCAGCTGTGCATTGCAATTATAGCGTGACCTATACAGCCAATCACTGGCAAAATGGTAGTCATGGAATACCGTAAAATATTGCAAAATTGTTGAACTTTAAATAATTTGATGAATTGAATGAAACTTTAACCCTTGCCAGTGCAGGTTTTTTTTCTAAAAAAGTCTAACCCATAATAAACAATCTGAATTTGGATAGGAACCAGGCAATGTTGACACCCAGCCAACTGCTTATTTTGGACTGTTTTATCTGCCAGCTGTTTAGTATTTAATATAGAAGATGTCTCTGTGTTAATCCTACTCCGGTATAAAGCAATCTGTCTTCTAGTTCAGCATGATGTGTATTGAGGATAAAAAATATTTTTGTAGTTACAAAAAAATCATAAGATGAGAATACATTATCACAAAAAAGTGGAAATTCAGGTGCCTGAAAAACTATAGGTCCAGTGACTGTCATCATTAATATTAATAATAATAATCCTGCATTTAATATTGCGTCTTTTACATCTGGAGAACTTCTGAAAGTGTTTCATAGGATTTACTGTAAAATGTAGTGAGTTTGCACTTTGTAGGTAAACAAAGCAGCCAATTTGCACACAGCGATGACCCATAAACAGCAAATGTGAATAATTTTACCTGGGGGACTGACTCGGAAGGCTGGAACCCTATGTTGGGACTTTGAGCTCACACTCTCTAGGCTGACACTCTAATGCAGTGCTTGGGTGCACTGCATTGTTGAAGATGCCATCCTTTGGTTGAGAAGTTAAAAGGATTTACTTACTGTAATAACAATAGCCAAAAAATGTGGCGCCTTACTATTTGGTCTTTTTTAAGCAATGGATATTGCCTCGTTTGCATAATGGGATTTTTTTTGCAGTTTAGCATACATAAAATTATTCTCCAGTGTGAGACCTGCTAAAAGAAACCTTTATAGAAACATAAAAAAATGCACACTTTTTAAAAAATATTTTTGCTATTTCCGTAAAAATCATGGCACAAAGAAATCTTCATCTTTGTATGTAAAGTAAGTGTTTGCCGGGAAGTATAAACAATACTGTAATGAATAACTGCAGGACCTCTGAAACCTTCAGGAATGAGTGGTGTTTCATTGCTTAAAAGTTAACCTATTTTTATGGTGGACAGGCTACAACCTGCAATCTGATATAATAATTAATAATACTTAAATTTGGTTTAGCATATTTCAGTACGGGAGGATGTCCCAAACCCGTTTTGCAGGATATATTTGGATTTTATTTGGGGGACAGCTGATAGATAACTACAGACAGAAAACATTCCAGATTTTTGGACATGAGAGAACGTCTAAGACCCCACACTCCAATACGATATAGAACTCTTATTAAATTTATTTTTAATAGCTGTCTATCATGGTTTAACAAAAGTTTGTTGGTGGATATGGGAGTGAGGTGAATTGCAGCCCTGAAAGGTACTGTATTTGTGATATGAGGATACTGTCGATACGTTTTTGGGGGGGGAGAGAGGGAGTAGCACCTCCTAATAGAAACTTGTCACATTATTGCCTAACTCGACATAACCTTTGTAAGACAATGTTGAATGTTGGAGGGACTCAAAGTATGCTTTTAAAGTGCCTTGGTATGAGCTGATAGTCATAACTCTGAGATGGAAAAAATGTAATCTTGTACTGGCTGTGTTTCAGCTTGTGCCAGCAATTATATATGAAAAGCCATTGGGCAAAGTCTGAACAGGTGCTTTGTAATCCTCTCAGGCTTCAATTTATAGGGAGTACTAAATGAGGTCTGTGCTAAATATTCTATCCAGAATTAGCTAGGACAGTATGACGCAGGTTAGGCTGGTACAACCACTGCAATCTGTAAACAGTTACAGGATCTTAAATGCTTTATTTCATAGGATTGGTACTATAATGCAATTCATTCTTATAAATTAAGACCAAATCATCTAATTACTGGCCTTTACAGTTTCTACTGTCGGTCCAGATCAGCTTCCAAAATCAATGGGACCGGTTCTATTGTGCAACAACCTCAAACAACATTTTCTGCAGTTCAACAACAATAAATGTTACAAAGAATATTACAAAATGGATTGGAAGTGTTATCTGTGATTTCTGTTTTGGCCATTTAATATGCAACATGCCCAAGGTGAATAATTTTGATTTCTGAAACCTGCAAATGCTCCGGAAAAAATCAGAGTATAAGCACTTTTCCGGCCTTTGTTTGCACTTTGTCAGACAGTAAGATCACCTCTGCCCATCCTTTGTTCCCAGTTTATCAGAGTTATAAATCACCTCTCTTCAGCCTTTGTTCAGTTTGTCAGTGGCTTTCGGAAATTATAATTAGTCATTTTGCAAATATCACAAATTAAACAGCAAAATAATAGTCGTTGTATTCTCAACAATAAACTACCAATATCACAAGTTGTATTGAAAATGGTTCAAAGAAGAGCATCAAGGATGGTTCTGGGACTGCGGCTCAGGATATGAGGAGAGGCTCGCAGAAAGCAAGTCTGCATTTCAAGTTCCTGCCTCTTTTCGCTCTCGGAAGAACTTGTACCTTTTCTATATTAGACATCCTTTCAGTCACTCTGAGTGAGACTGCCAGTGTAGCCCCATTCAATTCAGAGATGTACACATCTAATCTGTTGCAGTCTCGGACCAATAGAAATTCAACTAAAAAGGCCCAAATGTTCCAAACAGTGAAGACGTATTGAGCAATAAGGGAAATTAAAATATTTTATTTATGCAAAAACCCTTTACGAGTCTCGCCTTTGACTGAAACTTGTTCTTTGATTTCAGATCTGGTTTGCTTTTACGAATGGATTCTCAGGGCAGATTCTCTTTGAACGGTGGACCATTGGTCTCTACAATGTGGTGAGTACAGTATATGCAATAATATTAACATTTTCAACCAGAAAATGGCTGCTGGTGATAATTTCAGAAATACTGACTGTATTTTTGTAGGCATCTGTGGCAACTATTTGTCCTAGGAAGACCCTTCGAACAGCCATGAGGTGAATGGCCAATTTTCATACATCAGCCTGGCTTAGTGTGCAGCACTCCTCTCTGAGTCAATGATTATGAGTTTAACTCCCACATCCAGACTTTGAATTCATAGTCCAGGCTGGCACTCCAATGCAATCCTGGGGAGCACTGCATTGATGGCAGTGCCATCCTATGATGAAACGTTAAACTGAGGTCCTGTCTGCTTGTTCAAATGGATGTTAAAGATCCCATGGCTCTATTTGAAAAGAAGAGGACTTTTGTTTCAGTGTTCTAGCCAACAACCCTCCAAATAAAATTGTTTACAGTAATTACACTTAAAAATATATCCTGTGAAGCACTTTGACACATCCTCCTGATGTGAAAGGTGCTATATCAAATGTAAGGACTATTATTATATTATATTATATTATATTATATTATATTATATTATATTATATTATATTATATTATATTATATTATATGGAGGTTTGTTGGTCAAGACACAAGTGGAAACTCCCTTCTCTTTGTGAATAATGGAGTCCTGTAGCTCAGTGATTAGAGCACTCGCTTTGCAAGCGAGAGACGTGGGTTCAATTCCTGGCAGAGTGAAACTTGGGCAAGTTTACTTACTCTACACGCCTGATAATAGTCCATCAAGAAAAAAAACAATAATAAATCGTTAATTTTTAATCCACGACTGTTTGTGGGACACTGCTGTGTGCAATTGGCCGCCGCATTTCGCCCACAAATATTATTATATAAGCGCTTTGAGACGTCTAGAAGACGTGAAAGGCGCTATATCAAATGCAAGAATTATTATTATTGTATAATAGTGTTACGTGTGGGATTTTTAATGTACACTAGATAAGGCAGATTAAAACATCTCAATAAAAAAAATAGCTCTTCCAGCATTGCAGCTCAGTGCTGCACTTCAATATCAGCTTAGACTCTGGGCTCACGCCCCGACATATGGATTGAACCTACGGCCTTCTGACTCAGAGGTGAGCTAGAATCTGAGTCAAACTGACACATTGGTGATGTTGGGCTCTTAGTTTTAAAGAAGGTTTGAATAGCAAAACTTTGCATTTTTTTTAACACATTCTCAAAAAATTATGCTTTATCAGAATGCCACAAATATATTGTTTTGGTTTCTTCAACTGGTGCCCCATCAATTTAAAGCACTAACATTTGTATCTGTCCAAGGATTTATAAAACTAGAAAGTGCTGGAACACCTCTGACCTACCCATGTTGACAGAGCTGCTTCAGCTTCAAGTGTTTGAAGGCAAAGGAGTATGTTTCCTTCTGACAGAATGATATAAAACTTTCCGGTTAACAACATAGTTTGCAAATTGTGTCTGGTCTATCGGCTTAGAGAACTCGTTGCAATATATGGATTTTCTATATCAGCAAAGCCCTATATGCTTCTGAAATTATTTGTTTTAAAGACATTTTCTACTTTGGGTCAGTAAATTCACTTTAATGTGATTTATTCTACACTTGGAAACAGAAATAAACATTTCCGCACATTTGGCCCATTAAAAAAAAATGATCTGGATGTTTTGGCAGTTAATCAAAAAGAACGAGCTACTCATTTTTCTCTCTTCCTTTCTCAAAGCACTGACTTTTTCTGGGTACTTCTCAGACTTTCACTTTATCTCAATGACAGCTCTTTTTTGTTTTATTGATGATAATCCTTACATTTGATACACAATCCTACCCGTTTATATCGACATTAAACGGGTAGGATTGTGTATCGGGGACCCAGCAGATTTTGTCGACGTAAGTGAGTTTCGACATAAGTGATCGAACTAAGGGCTGTCAGTCACTGAGGTGCACCCTGAGAGTTGTAGTCTGCGCACACACTGAGCCCTAAGCTCTGCCCCTCCAGGGGGCCTCTGCCTGTGCCACACACCCCAAAGCTCAAGAGGAGAGTTTCAGTGCTTCATTCTGATCAATGATGTACAAGTGCATTGTGGAGTCCTGTAGCTCAGTGGTTAGAGCACTCGCCTTGCAAGCGAGACACCTGGGTTCAATTCCAGGCAGGGCGAAACCTTGGGCAAGTTTCCTTACTCCACACGCAGCCTAATAATAATCCCTCCAAAACAAAACAATAATAAATTGGTCATTTTCAATCCACGACTGTTTGTGGGACACTGCTGTGCGCAATTGGCTGCCACGTTTCGCCCACAATATAAAGTCAATTCACTTTACAGTCTATTCTGTGAAGCGCTTTGAAACGTCTAGAAGACATGAAAAGCACTATATCAAATGCAAGGATTATTATTATAGGATTATTATGTCAGAGAGCCAAGCGCAGGGCAGGAAGGCAAGGGTTAAAACAACTTGCCTGTCGATATAAGTGGTAAGAGCACAATGTGCTAAATGCGCTTCACACAATACACTGTAAAGTGAATTGACTGTATATTTGTGGGCGAAACACAGCAGGGGGTGCTTTACAGGATTTCACTATAACGTGTAATGACTTGCAGGCAAACATTTAAGTCCAGGCTGTTATTCTATTCAATTGAGGTGGACAGGAGAGTTGTCCATTGACTAACTCAATATTTGGAGGTCCAAGATGACATGCTTAACAGCAGAATGTCAGAATCAAGTTGATTCTCTATTGTGGTCTTGGTAGTTCCAGAGCCCACTGGATCCGCATACTCCAGGGAACTTGAGCCCAGTCAGCCTGGTTTATTGACATGACTTGGAAGGGCACACCAGTCAATGGGGGAGGAATTCTTCCCACTCAGCTCCTGTTAATCCTGCGAGCCAAACCATTAACAGGTAGGGTGTCCTAGCTGGGACAACAGGAAGCTTACCTGACAATGCTTTCGGTGACAAACTATGCAATTCTATCTGGTTAAATCCAGCGGTACCCCCACCACGCATGCTCCAGAATATTGGAGTTTTGGCTCCTGTCAGCCTGTGATACTCGATACTCGTCGGGACTTCAATAACAACAACTTGCATTTATATAATGCCTTTCACACCGGATAGTGTCCCAGAGCACTTAAAGTTGACTGGGTAAATAGGGAGCATACTTCCAGGGAGATAGTGTGCATTCCTGGGGAAATTGCCATGTGGAGGTGGCATGCATATGTGGAACTCTCACTCTGGTTTGCCACTCTGAAGCAAGGTTTGAAATCAATCCTTGGTTTCCACATGTGATAACCGGGTGTCTTGACACATGCAATAACCTACCACCATACTTAAACAATATCCAACCTGGACTGATGTACATGTGCAGATAACTCAGTTTAAGGCACAAGGCCCATTTTTTGACAGCAAGTTGCCTGCAAAACTGTTGCTTTCAAGGTGTGCTTTGTCAACTCTAGTATGTGTTTATAATGGGGATTTGTCACATTCACTACATCATTATCCCTACACTTAGTGACGAGAGGAATTTCACTCTCCAACAGTGGAGAAATAGAAATGTAACGTTGGGTGCAGCCTGGCTCTCAATTTTCTGTAGTGAATAAGACCCTATGTCCCATACCTACGGTCACCTCCCCTTTTTCCCTGATTCGGCATCAAACTATGCCATTGTTAAGTGCTCCAAGACGCCACCCCGAGTGAAGGGCACTTCACAAATGCAAGTTGTTGTTGTATAAAATGTTATCCTACCAGAACACTCATGCAACCATCCTCCCATGATGAAAAACCAAATGTTTTCTTTACATTATGATCCTAATCTCATGTGGGACTAAGCTATTGAGGAGCTGAAGCTCAAGATGTACCTCTTTTGGTCATCTTTCCCTTCTCCACCCCCTTTGGCTCCCACCTCCAGCTCCGATGCCGAGCCAGTAGTGCAATGTCCTCCTGATGCGAAAGGCGCTATATAAATGTACATTATATGGTATTGCAATGAAATGGTCATTTCAAAACGGGAGCATTTACTCATTCTTTGCTTTTGTATGTGCCAGTTTTTCACAGCCTTGCCTCCCTTTGCGTTGGGAATATTTGAGAAATCGTGTCGGAAGGAAAACATGCTAAAATACCCAGAACTTTACAAAGCGTCGCAGAACACACTGAACTTCAACACAAAGGTAAGCATGCTTTCCTCCCCTGAAATTCTACACTCTGTTTTTGAAATAATAATTGAATGTTTTGCTTTCATAAATAATTATTTTAAAAAGTTGTGTTATTGGGACACATTTAGCCACCCTGCAGTTAAATGGGTGCTGTCTTCAAGGAAAAGTTCACAAACTTTTGTGTTAAGTCTATTCTATGCTTTCAGCAGATTTGTTCCTGTGCAAATATGAAAATTTGTATATTAAAAAAAATCGTGGCACCCATCTGCCTCCCCTTCCCTCCTTCAAAGCCAGTCTGAACACTTTCCTCTTTGATCCTGCCTTCAGTATCTTCCCATACCCACTACCCTACAGCCCTCTTGACTCCAACCCCCAGCTTGGATGCAAACCCTTCACTGTCTAGTGAAAGGCGCTATATAAATGCAATTTGTTGTTGTTGTTGTGCACTTATAAATGAATAGTTTGAAAGGTTACATTGGTACCCAGTTATCATGTCCCTCAATATAGCGCTGCCTCCCCTGTGAGGTGGGTGGGCAATAAGCATAATATTTTGTGATGTTAAAGCATGAAAATCCCATAATCGTAAGAATGCAGTTTAACCTACTCGAGCCACAACCTAACCTATTAGCATGAGCAGCTTAGCTTGTCCATTTGGCTTTATGTTTGTCATTGACGACATGAGACCATAAGTGCTGATTGTAAGGGGGTGGGGGTTGGGGCTTTGTACGTTCGCTTATAACACAGGGTGACAATTTCCGGATCCCAACAACTGGGTTATAGCAAGGTTCCCCTGTTCAAATAGAGCATTGTTCACATTTCCAACATTTTTGCCCGTTCTTCCCTCCAGCCACCCCCATTTTCCCTTGTACCTCCCATCAAACAGCCACCCTGCCTGATAGTGATGTAATTCAGGCTGACATCACATGGCACCCGACATTTAGTAATAAAGAAGGATCTCTACAAAAACAGATCTTCGTAGCCATCCAAACATGCATCTAATTTGCCGCATGTAATGTCCAGCATGTTGTGATATTCTGTGAGGTTTAAATTTAGATTAATTTTAACTGTGATTAGAATAACATATGAAATTGTTGAGTGAATCTGCAATCACAGTATTCTAGCCTAAAGAAAGATTCAGTACTTTTTGGCGATTTCTGACACGATTTTTTAGTACGTTAAGACTGCTGACTTCCTCCAGTAACTGAAGGTACATCACCCCAACCTGTGGGAGGTCCACACTGGAGTAGCATCCGTCAGAACAAAGTCTGTGTGCTGTAATTTGAGTTCCCTTATTAAGATTCACTTTGTAAATCGTAGCACATTAAGCCCCAGAACTGAAGTGCTATGTAGCTGAAATGCTGCCGGGATTCTCAAAAGGTCGAACCAATGTCAATTGCTCATATAGGCTTCTACCATGCATTTTTTTTTCATACTATCAGCCGAGAGTATTTGGTGCCATCTAAATGGATTGCAGTAGTCTTTTCTGGACTTGTCCATTGCAGTGTTACAAAAGAAAGAACTTGCATTTTCACAGTGTATTTACATGTCAAAATGTCACAGTGCTTCACTGGCAAACACTGCATAGAGCAGTGACTATTTCTTTATAGGATTTCTACTCTTCAGGCTCACTGAAAGACAATTAGATATTTGCAAAATATAAAAACAGTACCCTTATCTTTCTTCCATTAAAATAGTACCTTTGTAATAATAAGACTTTTTTTAAGATGCTCTTACACCCAATAATGAACATTAATTCTGCCACTAGTGGCTTGTCTTTGGTAATTGTCAATGTCATTGGGAGCTTGTGAATTAATTGAGGTCTACAGTTATTTTGAGATTTGAAAGGGTCGAAAGGAAAAGTGAGAATGAACAATTTGTTATTATGGACCTTGAACCATTGTCAACTTTTTTTTCTAATGATATTGCACAGGTTTAATAAATATACTCTTCACAGGCAGGGGAAAAGCAGGAATAGTTAAGTGTTTTCTGTTTGTAACCTTCAATACAAAATGTAATCGGAAAGAGCTCAACAGTCAGATTAGTTGAGGCCATGCTGTGCATTTTTAAGAGAAGCCTTCTTTCTAACTGATAGGTGATGGAGAAAAGCTATTTGTTTTTGCATGCTGCTAATAAAGCTGTCTCCTAGAGGCAAGAGTGATTAGTCCTCCTGGTTTAGACATCTACAGACCCTCGTGTATTTGTAATGTTGTGTGCAAATGGATTACTGACCCCTGTGGAGAAGCAGGTCAAAAGACAATATGAGCTGCCATTAAATTTGTAGGGGGTGGTGAGCCTTTACACCATTATTCATTAATGCTGAGCTGTGAAAAATGCTGTTTTTGTTTTTACAAGGAATTTAGTATGTTTGCTTTGCAAAATGGCCTAAGATCCTTTAATTGTAGCTTAGAAACATTTATAAGTTTAAGAACTTCCTTGCCAATTAATTATACTGAATAATTTATTTCTCGAAGAAATCAGTCTAAAAATATACAGTTTTACACAACTGCACGTGCACACATATGCATGCACACACAAAAAAAAGTGAGCCCTCAAAATGATCACATTCACTATTTCTATGTTGTCACGCAAGTAAACCAAAAAACACAGTGCTACAAATGTAAGGCATGATTTGTTTGGGTGATTGGAAAATTTGTTATTTAATATTTCCATTTTAGAGTCTTCACAACACTATCTAAAAGTAATTTACTCACTTTGTGATTTTTTTTTGACACCATATTAACATCACCGAAGTAATGCACCACCCAACCAAAATGAATTGTTAGTTGGTGTCAAGGATTTGTTCACAGGGTATAATGCATGCATTTCAGACAGGTTATAATATAATTCATATATAATCGATTGAACAATCCTTATTTCCTTAGCTTTTGAGACAGGGTTTTATTTTTCCTCTTGGGTTGAGACTATTCTTCAAAGTTGTGGATAACCTTTTGTACAGAGATAAATCAAGGAATATTGTGATGATGAAGTAAATTAATGCATTGCATCACAGAGAGGGAAGACTCTGATCAAGTCTGGTGACTTTCTGATTTTAGTCACACTGTCACGCGGAGTAGCTGAACAAATACCAGATCATCCCAGAAACATTTTAATCCCGGGCAACTCCATGCACCTCAAGCAGCCAGTGACATCGAGCCATGGATGACGCGTTAAATCAAGTCCCATATGCCTGTTTAGGTGGATGTTAAAGAACCCATCGCACTGTTGGAAAACAGGAGTTTCTTCCAATGTCCTGCGAACAATCCCCCAAATAAAAAAAATCGGTCACTCACTCCGTCGCTGGCTGCCGCGTTCACCCACAAAATACATAGTCAAACCGCTTTACTATATATCCTGTGAAGAGCTTTGAGACGTCTTGATGATGTGATAAGGCACTATATCAAATGCAAGGATTATTATTATTGTTATTATTGTATGTCTATCCTTATCAGTTATGCCATTGAGAACGGGAAAGGGGAAAAAAGCAAATACTGAATTTTCAACCACCAGTACAACTGTCTCTACCCTTAAAGTTAGCTAGTTCTGTACTATAGCCTTAAGTCAATTTGCATAGAAAATATCAAATATTTGTTAAAAGAAAACAACACTTGATGTAGGGAGAAGGGAATAGAGAGGTATAGGAGGGGTGGGGGCTTGCGTGGAGTATAAACTCCAGCACAGACTAGTTTCGCTGAATGACTGTATCACTTTATGTAACTGTATAATTATATATATGTATATGTCTCCATTTTGTATGGAAACACTAAAGCACCTGTTTAGTGGTACAGGAGATGATGAAAATAAGACCAGCTACACATGTGTCCATAATATGAAATATAAGACATCCATGACCGTGTGACTTATTCTCTTGCGTGTTTTAGAATGAGACAAAGATTACAAAGAATGTACAGCAGGGAAACAGGCCACTCAGACCAACCAGTCCGTGACAGTATTTATACTGCACACAAGTCTCTACCCACTCCTTTCTCCCTCCCATACACTTTTGTTCCCCTCTCCCAAATCTGAAGGTTTTCCTCTGGAATGTGTCTTATACTATCTGATGTAACCACTGCTTCGGGCAGTAAGTTCCGCTGTCTCACTACCATCCACGTGAAGTAGTTCCTCCTAAATTCTCTTTTAGATCCCCTAACCGTTATCTTGTGTATGGAGCTGTAAGAGAAAGAATCAAACTAATAATTACTACCTTAATATATTCGGTATACTGTGAAACTTTCATTTGATTGGTTATAATGAATTTAACCTGTTTTATAAATTGCAAATAAATCAGTTTAATTGGATCATTTTCTGTCAAACAATTTATAATACTTGCAACTTTGAAAGTTAGCTTTTAGTTGCATCTCATGTTGTGTTCGAATTTTCTACTCCCCAAACTATTGAAATAACAATAGCCAATATGGGTTTTGCAGATTATTAGTTTAATAGACCCATCACAGTTCCAGTTTACAACCATTGGGAACTGGCCTGGAATAGGAGTCTTGTAACACCACTAGATGTCCTTAGGGTGCCGCATAAATGCTTTGCCGCATAATATTTCAAAGCTTATCGGTGTTGGCATTTGGTGACACCAAATTAGTACAGAATTACGAACGAGTGTCACCCTAATAATAATAGAAATATGTGAGTGTGACTTCTTTATGGGAGGCAATGTTTACAGTTGGTGGTCCTGCTAACCACACAATAGTAGAAGTCCCAAAGGACAAAAGTGTCTACATGTGTCCTGTTTCACAGTGGCTTTTAGCAGTGAACATATTAAACAATGCCCTCAAAGGTTCACAGAAATTAGTGTGCAACGTCATTGATGCACAATGATAAGTGTCTATTCTTGCTTCCATGGTCATATGTGCAGCCTAATATTCTAAGAGATCTAACAGTTGGATTTTATCTGACTGGAATTAATCACATTCTGTTGAAGACTTATCACAGAATAAGTTTTCAGCTAATCCAGACAGTGAGTAATTTGCAATTCGTATCAATGTGCTGACTATTCAACTAATTCA